CTGGCCAAACCATGAGACAGGCAGTCGGTGCCAGTCCGTCAGACAGCCAGGCTAGGCACTGACATCCTGTAGTAGACATACTAAGCTCACAAAACAAAACCCCTAATTCGCGGGAAGAGGTGCGAAGAAGGCAAAACAACGGTCAAACAGCGGACACCCAGTCGTACAGCAGCGGGACGGCAGGACAGCCAACTTTGATTTGTTGCCTCTCATGCAGTTGGCAAATGAACGATAAAATTCAAACAAACTCACATGACCGGGTATAGTACGATTACTGTTATATATATATATATATATATATATATATATATATATATATATATATAGGATTGTTATATTTGCCAACAGTACGTAATATATGCCCACAAATACGATGTATCCTTTTCGTTTTATCACCGCCTGTTGTCTCGCATGATTGTTGATAATAATGCTAATAATAGTAGGATTTCTTACGTGGCAACTAATATGGGCACGAGTAATTCAGGCGACGCTGTTGAATCTGACCGCCCAAAAAGTAATTGATGGATGATAAACACACTCTTTAATTGTAAATGTGCTGAAAATGTTGTGACACAAGAAAGTTGAAAAGAACCGCAGAGGCACCTCGCATAGTGGCACGTTGGCACCATGAAACAGATGTATCCTTTGCCTCCCCTTTGTCAAGCCAGCAGGCAGTCCACTACAGTGAAATAGGATGTGTTTTTCTATATGGTAGCTTGCTTAATGCGATATTTCAGATTGATTCAAACAGATAAAAAAAATCATTCTGACGTAGTAAGAGAGCGGTGTTAACTAGGCAAAGCATTGCTTTGCCGTAACTCCCCAATGGCCAGCGAAAATCGAAACCCAATGTAGGGTTTCCAAAGTCGAAGCATGAACTGCTATAACTGGGAAGTAATGCTCGCTGTTTGCCTGTCTCACTGTTGATACTGTTGTTAGTACAGTATGGCGGCTTTGCGTTTGTTAATCCCTCTCGGTATAAGCGTATTACATGTGTTGTCGGTGTGTGTGGAATTTGAGTGGAAGCGGCTGTTGAGAAGGCCGACGAATAGCTTGCAGGAACCGTACCGGTTCACCGACGCCTGAGGCGGTCCGACTGCTGTCACCCGCCTTCCTGTCGTCCCGTCGACATGGGGTCTGGTGGTACAGAGCCTTCCACAGCTCATTCAAATGGAGATGTCTGGTACTATCCAATCTGATGGTATCCCATATGGTGTCGTCCATTACCAGCTTGTTTGATCCTCGTTTCTCTCGTTGTCTTGTTTCTCTCTCACAGAATTCGTCTCTATTTTCAGCAGCGTTCTTTCTCCTGAATGTTATACTGCAAGCAGGGTTCTCTAACGTAATGCGGCGATGAGGTACCTTGCGAAGACGTTTGCGGTATGGGGAGGTAAGGTGCAATGTGGAGTGGAGCAAAACAATCTGTGGGGGTTAGGAGAAAATACGCGGGCCACAGGACTAGAACCAAGGAATTTTCCGGGGTCGATCAGTCTTTCATCCGTTCGGGCTAGGGCACATCATCGAGTAATCACACTGCAAGTCAGCACCCACAGACGAGGTGCTGCCTTGTCACCTGCTTGAGATGAGGAGAAGGCAGAACAAAATTGTGGCTGTGGATGCCTGGCTAGGGTGAGCGTGTATGCGGCAGTAGCTGGTTCGGTCGGCAGTCTAGGGTTGGGGGGCAGAAAGTTTCTATCATGTTTGGGCTGATCTGGCCCTATCTGTATTTTTTTAGGAAAGAGCGCGAAAAAGCGTAGAGTATCCCAAACGAGTGAAAGACAGAGAATAGAATTCCAATAAACGACAACACTATCATTAGCAGAAGCACCAGCATCACCAGCAGCAACAAAATGGAACTGAAAAAGCGCACGTTTTACAAAAAGATGACGAAATGGCCAAAATCGTAACGGTAATAACAGCAGCAGTAATAATGACAACGACATTATCAACACTACAACAGAGATAATGGCGTCTATGGGTATGAGATTTGTAAACAACCACCAAGAAAAGGGACTAAAACGAATTTGTCTGGCTAACGCATTGCATGTCTTCAATTCGCTGGTTCCATGGCGCTATCATTAGGCAGCGGAAGTGAACTCACTGATGGGTAGAACGCAGAGAACGGGGCCTAAGCGAACTACTGTGGGAGTCTGAGGTAGAGAAGCTTAGGCAATACGAAAGGCCGCCAATGGAGTTACACAGGTCTGCAAATCGAACGTTGATGCTCCTTCATTTCTTTTAAGCTAGAGACCGTGAACTTATCCTCCTCTTCCTGGATTGAAGTGCATCTTTCGTGTTTACCCTATTTTTTAAAATTTCGAAGAATCTTCGACAAGCTGGCTTTTACGAGACGAAATGCTAAACCAGGCGACGACCAAATAATAACTTCTAGAGAAAAAAAGACGTAAGAATATTATAAGATTGTTTTCCAGCAATGACTCAATCATGGATGTTAAAAAAATGTCGATATCTCAACAGTCAGATTCTATTCTTGCAAAATTTTGAATGAATCTAGCATAGGCGATACATGTAGAAATATACACATACGTATCTTGCTCGCCTATACGACGAGTATCTTATTATTTGTAACATTAATAAGGATATTAATTAGTTTGAGATAGTAACAATTTTAATGCAGGGCAAACATTTTGAATGAGGAAATGGTCTGAATAGTTTTACGCACTGCCTCTTGAGAATATAACCGTAGCTATAGTATATATATATATATATATATATATATATATATATATATATATATAATGATCTCGGTAGAACGTAAATTACTTGCGGTGCTTTGGATCAGTATTGTAACACATTATCGTAAATATGTCGAATATATGGCAAATTGATGAAGACGTACTGGCCCGCGGGGCTCACCAGTCTAATGATCCGCTATCATATAATACACAGTCCTATAATTTTATCGTATTGAGCAACTTGGATGACTGTATTGTAGTCCTGACAAAGACAGGTATTGTCTTGTACCTGAGCCCGAGTTGGGGTATTAAACTTACCCATTTATGTCCGTATAACTTAAAGTGAACATAAAGTGAGTATAACCACAGCGTTACATGGGAGTCGCCTGTATAAAAGCTCACAGCGGTGTACGTACAGCTTGAACCACATGACCCGAAAGCCAAAAAAAAAGAAGATCATAAGCCACTTTTGACAAAAAACATGGCTAAAATCCTTATCCTGGGGGAAACAGGATCAAAAATCGCACATGCGGACTGACAACTCATAAAGAATAACTGTATTAAGAAAAAAGGAGTGGGATAAAAGGCAAAAAAAAGGATGCACGAAATGAGGGCCAAGTGGAGAAGTAAGAAAAAGTTAGTTAACGTTTCTTATAGGTAACCACTAGCAATGCACGTTAACTTCATTATAGTGTTGCCACTATGGTTTATAATGAAAAACTCATTGTGCTTAGGCGGTTACATCCGCATTGCTTTTAACGTCGTTTTCGTTATCGTTCCCTTATGTTTATTATCATGTTCTCATTTTTCCGGTGTGCCCTTTCAATCGCGATCTGTCTTACCCTATTCGTCGTAACCTCTATGCACTTCTGCCTCAGTACCACTCTTTCTTTCTAGCCAGCCCGGTCATCGAACCAAGCTTGCTGGACCCCGCGGGTCAGTCCGCCTACACTGCTGTAACTTCTGTGTACACAATGGATTTATAATGATTTTTAGAACTCACTTCCTCCATAGACGTTTCTCTGCGATGTTGAGATGCTTCAAGTTCCATTTCCTTTTCTTTGGTGTTTCCCGGTGTGTGTATAAACAGAGAACTGCATGTAGCGCAGCTACCTGTTGCATTGTAATGGGTTCCACCCGCTATCAAAGGACGCCTTTCCGCCAGTCTCACAGAGGGTCTCTTCCCAAATAACTCCTCTTTTGCCTGGGGAACTCTGTGGCGCTAGTGAAGAAACGCCAGAGCGAGACCCAGACCAGTATGCTCCGGTGACCCGTACTCACTGCACCCATAACTGTACCTCTGTTACCCCTGTTGGCTCCCGCCATGCCCTTTCTTCGCTTTACCTAGGGTTTACTAATACTCGTTTACGCAAAACGCACTTTCATGTGAAGCAAGTGGCCTTGCGAAAAAGGTGTCAAGGAGAGATGTATTTGGGGGGTGCAGGAGGATTGGGAAGAAACACAAAATAAGTATTCGGTGCGTATTAAATTTAGTTGAATTTTGGAGCACTGTTGGCTCACAGTTTACAGAGGCACACGAGCATATTTATTTTTGTTCTGCACATTGAAATCTTCGAAATCCGGTAACAAGGTAAAATATCTATAGAACAATGGGACTAATTACTTAAATAGCTAGATATTTCGTAGATATATAAATATGTTTTATACGTTATGCCAGTTAAATATATATATACGTGAGTGGTCGATTTATCTAAGCCATAACTACATGTATAGGCGGAAAAGCCTATATGTTTCGTATTGGATTGAATCAAAGTTGTGCGGCTTGTCCGTATGACGAACACAGATCATCAGCGGCAATATTAAAATGCAAGATTATGTCTACTATTCATTCAATGTCTAATAGATCGATCTAAATAGTGCGCTGTTCTTCGGCTGAGTCTAGCCATCTCGTTTCCAATTTTCATGCACCTCGCTATAACGAAAGTATAAGAAGACTGCTAGCCATATATCAGTGTTACTGCTACTATAAAATATGATACTTTTTACAAATCTTCAAAACTAGCAACTTCTAATAATATTATTGCAGTAAATATGTAATAATATATATATACATAAAACGTAATAGTAATATAATAAACTTCCACGTGCATTAATTATCATCTGTGTTCACTTAGTAATTGATTAACGCCTAGTAAAACGTATTACGTAGCAACTTTATTACTGGTTTATTTAGTCTTCATTGCTGCTGCCCATACACACATCTTACATGTTATTTTTGTTCCTGGTGACGCGAACTTTGGAAACGTTCTCGATGGCTCGACGGTCGGATGTCCGCTAAAATAGACAAGGACGAGTGTTCCACGAATAATGGAGGCTGTCAGCATATATGTCGGAACACGATTGGTTCATTTCAGTGCGCCTGCTTCAATGGTTTTGTACTCCATCCAAATGGTCGCGACTGCAAAGAAGGCACCTGCATGCACCACGTGCATTCACAACAAGGCGGTGAAATTACCTCGCCAAACTATCCCCTCGTAAGTTAATTAAGGCTAACTTATTTTCAAAGTGCTTCTTTTCTCATCGGGAAAAAACCGCCTTACTTGATAGCACTATAGAACACATATATAGACAATTTTCTTTCCATGGCCCGATTTCTTGGAGTTTAAGTTGGTCGTGTAGAAGAAAGGACTTACGCCTTCTGGAGTATAACACAGCCAGATCGGAGAATTGTTCCTGCTTCGTGTCATCCACACAAGCATTTACGAAGACAAGTGGTTTTTGTCTACGTTTGACGCTTTTCTATCACGTTTTATGGAAAGGTTTCAGTAGTCAACTAATTAATGGAAAACAATCTTGGTAAAGAAAAATGCGCCGGCTCAAATTATATCATGTATTACTTCTGCGATACTTATGTCCATATTATCAAAGGAGCCGCTATTTATTGAGTTTTATACGATATTTAATTGGAGTGAGTGGCGAACATATGAGCGATATAATCGTGTCGACCAGATCCGCTTTCACTTACCGCTGTTATTTCGTCGCTCTTCCCAACCATATAGGAATATCCTTCTAAGAAGGAATGCGCCTGGCTTTTCTCGACAACTCCAGGACACCGTCTGAAGCTGGTAAGCTGTCGACTATTGTAGCGTCCACAGCTATGGAAGGAAAAACCTGTTTTTTGTTACGTTTACAGGGCAGCGACGCATTTGTACTTTAGTCTAACCGCATTAAGACAAGTGTCGTGGTGCAGTGAAAATTTATGAATTATATGAAAGCAAAAAAACAGGCTTCCGCTTGCGTCTCCAGCATTTGGGTCTTTTAAGTTATCATGCAGCAGTGTTATTTGTCGTCGAATGTTCCCTCTGTCGTCGTTTGCAGGTCTTTGATGACTTCGAATTGGAGCCACACCAGGAGTGTTCCTACGATAGTTTGTCAGTGTATGACGGAGAGAATACCGATTCGAGTTCATTGGGCATTTTCTGTGGAGCGCGAGCGCCACATCCGCTACTTTCATCGAACAACAAGATGTATCTCGTCTTTAAGTCGGACGCGTCTGTCAGCCGAAAAGGCTTCAAAGCACGACATTCAACAGGTAATGGAGATACACAGAATTCGTTTAATTATCGTTATGTAAAGGCTCTACGTACTTGAGAATCGGCAACGAGGAACTTTGAAAATCCTCTACATATTCCTACAAAATGAGCTTGGCAACCGAAACCCTGTTTCAATTCAATCGGCCAAAGAATATATAGACTTATGTTAGATTCCATTGATTTAACAGTTTCTGAATAGATTAAACTATATCTACGTCATGTTTTAATGACCTTCTATTAGTTCTTTAGCGCTGGCAAAGCGGATTCAGCTTCGACGTCTGATACCTTCTATTGTCTTGAAGGTAGTTTGGTAAAATACTACTTCTATATAAAGTCGTATCGTAGATCGGTGATCTCGGATAGTAAAAGTAGTGCGCGGACGGACGTCGTGTGTAAGTGGACATACCACACATTTTTGAGTGTATCTGTGTCTCACAAATAATAACATTAACTCATAGTCAATAGGAAAGAGTGATCAAAGTACTGCTGATGGTTTTGTCTGATCCTTCATGTTTCAGTTCATTCTAAATCATTATTAGCTGCAAGATAAAAACTATATTGGTAGCAAAATATTTTTTCTAGAGATTTACTCATATCACTTATAAAATCGCCCATTTAATCGAATAATAGGCCTAACGACCTCGTAAGTGAACGAAAAAACTCGTTTTACAGCTGATCCTCTAAATTACTAACTTTCAGAGCGTTAGAAGTATATGAGACTCGAATTGCTTTTGGCTAATGCGGCTATCGGGCTAAAATTTACCGGTCGGTAAACAGTCCCTGGTGGTGCTAAGGACGAACACAACTCGCTACGGGTTATAACCCGCGATGTTCCTTCCCCGTTGTTATTTATTTCTCTATAAGACTCGCCACCTTCTTTTCTACCATCGCCCCTGTGCTGGCATCCTTCGTGCTCTAGGTTGCCTTTCTTTTTGGACACTTGCTAACAGTCTATCTAAGCTGCCTACGCCATTTCCGCCGCTCAACTGAGCGCAGTTGTGGCGATCGCCCCAGCGCCAATAACCCCAGGCCTACAACGGGGCCATGTCGTCAACCCTCGACCGGCCAGTTGCTGAACTCGAGCCACCAGCCTAGGGAAGCGAATCTCTTTTTTAGCCTACTTCAACCCGCGCTTGTTGATATGGGTCCACATATCCTATCCTACAACCCTGAAAGACCTCTAGCTTTTAATAGTGTGCTGAGCGAAAGTCTGAGTCAATTAACTATTTACTAGAATAGCCACGCGCCAGTAACTTTGCTCGTTTGTCAAAGATGTATACCCTGATAGGCAATTTGTTATTTGTGTATAATTTAAACTATGCGAAGACTTATGAAATAGATCCTTTTTTCTAATTTGTAGCGTTTAATAGTGACGATTAATCTACGTAGATAATATACTAATAAGCTAGGACCGCAACAATAAGCTGAAACGATAAAGTGGGCAGAATAGAAATACGTTTTCGATATCGTTTTGTTTGGAAAACGTATAAAATTCTGCAGGATTATATATTACTGAAGGAAAACAGTTCTAGCCGTCGGTCGTCGCAGAAGCGTTCCATAAGACGCTTATGGTAAATAAAGGGCTATGTGACGTACTGCTTCTCAGGGTATCCATTACAATGTAACAAAGTGGAAAAATGTTAACGAATACAATTTTCATACGGCTTAAAGTAGCGTAGACTTTTCAACCCATGGAAAGTCTCGTGCGAGGTTCCAGCAGGCTTCTGACCCATGGTCAGAAGATGTAGTTTAACTAACTCTGCCACAGTGATCCTGTGGAGGAATGTTTCCTCTTACGGGAGCTGGTGGACAAGGCTTCGTTAGATAATATATCTTGCCCTATCTGTAAATCTAAAATCGAATGGGTACTGGTTTAGAGTCTACTTCTTTTTTGACTGTTTTATTTTCTTGCCTGGCTGTAATAAGAAGTAACGTTTTTGGCGACGCTCCGCCGATTCCTGCGGAGTTCACCCGATCGGTGAAACGATCAGCTTCAAGATTTAGCTTCTCCTTCGCTTTTCCGATCTTGAATCTACTGGCTCATGTATGAGCTGTCATTGGAGCACTAGCAGCCAGCAGTAGCGGCGGTAGCAGTTGATTCATTTCCAAAGCTGGCTTCTTCTTTCTGTTAGTAGGCAGACTTCTATGTGGCGCAAAGGTCTACATAGAGGAAGCAGGCTGAGAAACTGTCTGTGGGTAATGTGAACGCTGATTGGCGCGTGTTAAGCCCGTGACACACTCGCTAAAGCGCTTTCGTCGATTCAATGACCTTTCGAAGAAAAGGTTCTTGCTGGCCTCTGGTAGAAAGTGAGGCTTTTGCTTCCATCGCTATAGAAGTAGCGACACGCACTGGTCCACATGCAAGCCCGCGAACAGATGCAGATCGGCATACACATTTTCTCACATATTTGGGGCCAACACCCTTATGGGCACACTATTATCCTCAATCTCTTCCGCCGCAAGGGGAGTCTTGTTCGATCGTAAGTTTTTTTGGTTGGCATCGACATTGGAATATTCGGTGCGACCCTGCTATCTAATCGTTTCTTCGAGCATTATTGTTTGAATACTCCATTGGTATAGGTTTTCTAGGGTACGAAAAGGTGCAGACCATAGGTTAAGGCTCTATCTCCCCTTTTCTCAAGTCCTATTCTCATCAAGGGCTCTCCTCAAAGCCGACGTTTGAATCAGTTCCGTTAGTTGGGGCTCGCTGGTTCGGGAATGATCATAGAAAAAGAGAGAGAAAAAGGATGATATCAACGACGAGGCCGGCAACGCTAAGTCGAACACGCTGCCTGTAGTAAGGTTGAGTGTCGGGCTTAATTCGGTTAGCCAGGGCGATTTCGACGCCGCCAACGTCTGCACACTGCAACGTATGATAATCTAACAATGTTCCCATCCTTCATGCTTTGCTGCTCCCCAAACAACTAGCTGCCCCAGCCCACCCCAACCGATTATGACTTTCTGTGGTAACGTTAACCCTGCCCAATGCAGAGGCGACAAGAAGAACTGGGTCGAGGACATAGTTGTAGCTTTCACTGAGCGGCGAAGAATGAGCACGTGACAAGGGAATGGGAAACGCAGACAGGCCTGGTCCGGTAGCGTTATCTCAAAAAATTCGAGGAAGAGGCAATTCGACCGCCTTTCTCCCAAGAAGTGTGCAGGGTCGCCTTTCCATCGCTGCTAGGATAGCTTCCATTGCCGTGGCCGTCTTCGCCGTCAAGTGTACAGAGAACAGTCACTTAGTCAGTCAGAACCCATCGCCTCGGTTCGGGCCAGTACTCCAGGAGCGGCGCAGTTCCGAAAAATATGCGTAACTCCTTCTCTCTCTTCTTTGCTCTCATGCCGGCATATTCGTATTTGCGTGTGCGCATGTGTGCATGTGTGGGCAACCGCAACGGAGGCCGACGGGAGCCGGTCTGTGGCAAGCGCCAGCTTCCAACCTCTGCTTGTTACGCAATTCCTTTCCGTATGTGTCAATGGCACACTCTAAGCCACCTCCATCTGCACTTCTTCGCGCCTCTTATGTTACGGTTCGGCCATTCCACTCACCGCTTTTTCAGCCGTTGCTGCGCAGTGTGCGACAGGACCTTCTTTGCATTCCCAAGCGCCTCTTTCTTGGGCGTCACCACAAACACTGGCGACCGGCCAGCCGTTGGCTCTTCCTCCTACTGCTATCCCGGCTGAGTGTGCTTTGTGCTTTGCAACCAAAGCAGGAAGGCTAGAAGTACGGCGGTCGTCGGGTGTGGGTTACACATTACCTGCCTGCCGGGTCGGCGAGCACACGCCATGCCGAACTTACAATCGGTCTTACCACGCTTACGGTCTTACCATTTCTTGCTACTGGTCATTGCTATCATCGTTCTATATGCGATACGCCATTTGGATTGGAGTGGTTGTAATCAAGCAAACCCCAACAGAAATGGTGGTATGACAGCTAGCTTGAATGGTGTCTGTCGTCATCGCGTGCTAGACGCGTTAGGCAATGTTAAGAGGCAGCATGCGAATAGACCGCAGCCAGTCTTGGCCACTCGTCATATATACAGGGTGAGTCTTTTCATTTCTGCTGCTACCGACGGACGAGAGGCTTTCAGGCAAAATGCTTTTGCTGTTGCTGAATACGTCATTGTCAATCGTGCGAAAATCGAATGCTTGAAAATCGTTTGTGGCAACGTCGTTCTCTTGCTCTGTGCTGGAATACACGTATTTCGTACATTTTCTCGTACACTTTTTTTTCCTTTCCCCTTCTGCTGCCTCTCGTTCGTTTTTGCCTTTGTTCAAATGTTCAAAAAACGTTTCTGTATGTCAGACTGGGAAGTGTACATTGACTCGCCATCATATATTGCACATCATTTCTGTTCCTTTTCGCCTTGCTGTTTGCTTAAGAAGAACAGTTTCTCTGCGGCGCTAAAACTCAGGCTATTTTAGTTGCTGCCTCACCCCGCTTCGTTCGTTGTCATTGGGGTGACACGCAATACCTACAGGTCGCTAGGTTTAAGCTGACTTAGAATCACTGAGATGCAGTGCAAATATATGAAGTCTTTTGTAACTCTTGACTGTTGTTTAGCGCACCGGTCCGGAGTTCAGCGGACCGATCTGGTCTGTCCCGTGTCATCCCCTCCGCTGCATCTTGAGAGCGGCCGTCAGTCGGGTAAGCTCTCTTTGACTTACTAATGTTACTCGGCAAAGACTAGCAGCTGTACTCTTGTCAGGTTAGCTGAGCTGCACTTTCCTAGTTTATTCCCTTGTCCCTTCAGCCAGGTCGTTAGCAACCAAAAGACCACCTGCTCACCGTAATTCCGTCCCTTCGGCTACTGCTGTTACCAGCGTAACCCATTGCCCGGTTGATGCTGCTGCTGCTGCCACCTCGAGTCGCTTTTGCACGCCTTTTTGCCCGTCGAACCAGCCCGTGGGCTCTACTTGTGTCCCGAACATTCTTCCGGGCTCTCCAGGATCAGACAACCTCTTTAGTGAAGCTATTCTGCTTTCCTCTTTTCTTTTA